CTTCTTCTTCTTCTTCTTCTTCTTCTTCTTCTTCTTCTTCTTCTTCTCCTTCTCCTTCTCCTTCTCCTTCTCCTTCTCCTTCTCCTTCTCCTTCTCCTTCTCCTTCTTTTCCTCCTCCTCCTCCTCCTCCTCCTCCTCCTCCTCCTCCATCCCCACCTTCAAAAAGAATCAATACAACACCTATGAAGTCAGTTGAACCTTGAGAAGGCAGAAGGGGAAAATGTTTTCAAAGAACTGAGTTCTCCTTCGCTTTCCCCAGCTTGGGTGAAAATTAAACCTACAACTCATAAGATCCATTGGATTCCAACATCAATGAGGGATCGAGCACTTTTTGAATCTCGCGTTTGGATTTCGAATAAAGGCTATCGTTCAGTTTTGGGTTTTGTTTCTTTTTAGCATTCTATCGAATTTTCGTTTGCCCATTATCTCTCTGTTATTCCCCAAGGGCTGCTGGTAGTAATTAAGATCTACATTGCACCCTTTTGTGATATAATTAAACTCAATGTTTAATTAGGAAGCCTAGCCAGGGCCCAACGAAGAGAAATCAATTTTGTATCTAATGGGCCAAGCAAAGATGAGGGAAACATACAGGAAATCTTGAAACGGCATCAAAAATTAGCTGAAAGCTTTTGACATTTGCACGAATCGAACCTCACTGTGAAATTCTGCTTACTGAGGCTTTGCATCCCCTTTTGTATTTTGGAAGTTAATTATCGGGTCAAAAGGTGTGTTGTTGTTGTTTTTAAACTAGGACAATTTAGCTAACTTCCCAGGTCACCCAGCAGCTCAGAATTAGACAGTTACAATAGTAGTAAGGAACATTTTTTTGCTTAACTCCAGGTAGACCTTGACTAACAACCGTTCATTTAGTGCAGTGGTGGCTAACCAGGGGTGGGATTCTTCCAGTTCGCACCTATTTGCAAGAACCGGTTGTTAACATTCTAAGCAGTTTGGATAACCAAACTGTTCGAAGAAATTACTGGGCTAATCCTGTAAGGAAGGCAGGAAGGAAACATTCTGGTGTTGCTTACAGAAACTGCCTCTCCATTAACCCTTATTACATTCTTGGCAGGACTAGACTTCCTGTCTCAGGAACTTCTCTGGAGTTTTTTTCTCCTCCTTTGCTGGTACTTTGCTTGTGTGGAGTGACCATTCAAAGCTACAGTGGCACTGACAAAAGTGACTTATGACCATTTTTCACACTTACGACTGTTGCAGCATCCCCACAGTCATGAGAGGCCAGGCGAGGAGATGCGTGCCTCGATGTGAGTGATATTGAGTTGGCCATGCCCAACCAATAACATGACCACCAAGCCATGTCCACCCAGTCACATGGCCACCAAACCACGCCCACCACCTAAGCCACACCCACAGAACCGGTTGTTAAAAAATTTGAATCCCACCCCTGTGGCTAACCTTTTTGGGCTCTCGTGCCGATAATGGCGCACACGCTTGCCTGCTCGTGCTCATGTGCCATCACTCAGAAGGCAATGCGTGCACCCCCCCCTCAGGCCTCCTGTGCATGCGTGTGCGACCTCCCCATGCACGCCGAGTGCTTCTGCACATGCGCGAGTGTGTTTTCCGCACTGCCACGCCCCTGCACATGCACACCAGATACCCGAAAAATCAGCTGTTGGGTGGGCAGTGCGCACACATTTGTAGTACACCTCTTCTGGGCGAGCGCTCACATGCTGGCAGTAATGGCTCTGCATGCCATTAGTTCACTACCATGGATTTAGTGACTGTCTGAAGTTACAACGGCACTGGAAAAGTTTTTCACACTTACAACCAGGGGTGGGATTTCTTTCCTGATTTTTTATTCCTGTTGGGCATTCATGTCTCACTTTGTAATAATATTTCTCTGCACCTCACTTCAAGTGAGGATAAACATTTGTGATGGTTGCCAAATTGAGACCTACTCATTCTGGAAAGGTGGGCAGACCAAGCCATGTATGACAGGTGTTGGTTTATTTTTTATTTTTTGGAAACAAAGACTGCTATCTTTTAAAGGAGGGTCATGAGTTTTATGTTTTCAAAAGACAGCATGAGGCAAATTAGTGTAAAACAAACAAAAAAAGCATTGGGGGGAATTTGCAAAACCGTAGAGTTACATGAAAGCTATGAATATTAGGAAGAGCTGCATGGGGAAACTTGCAATATCAACATTAAAACTGGCCATGCTTGATCTACTGTACAGCTGCTAAGGACAGCTGCTAAGTTTGGGTCTAAAGAAGACTTGAGATTTGTCTTAGTGAGATTAGTAAGACTACACCTAGAATAGTGCATCCAGTTTTGGTCACCACATTACGGAATAAAAAGATGTTGAGACTGTTTTGCCATGAGGAATATTGTAAAGGCATGAAAAAATCAGGGCCACCCATTGGCACTTGTCGATGGAATTCAAGAGGGGTTGGACTTAGAGCATTTGTGGGAATGTAAGGACTCCAGGTTGATTCCTCTCTTGACTCCAACTCTAGGCTCTGCCATTCTTTTCCCTAGAAGGGTGTGGGAATCAGCTTGGGAGACAGAAGGAAAAGCCGCAGCCAAGGCAACGATCGGATAAAAAGCACCTTAGCCCACAGAAGTAACACGGGGCTGTTCAGAAGGAACCATCCGTAGTTTCTTAGTTTATAATCCAAGAAACCAACCATGCCCTTGTAAATAGAAATGGGAATGCAAAAGAACAAAAGAAAGGCAGAAAACAGTGTGAAACAAACGAGAAAAACAAGAATCTTAACAATGTCATACAGATGATAGTTGTTCAGTATATTCATATATTCGTATGCTAGAAATTATAATTTCCCGGTCTATAATTCATTCAACTTTTAGGATCCATGCAAAACAAGCATAGGAAAAAGAGTAATTTTCTCCAGTGGCTGGTCAGGTAGAGAACTTACTTACTTTTTGGGTCTATAGTCTGGAATAGATCTGTCCAAGGAAATTCGATCGCTCAGTTGCGCATTATAACCATATTCTTCGTATTTCGTTTCAGATTCATGGCTGTCATCTCTCAGTGTGGCAGCCATTCCTCCTTGGCCCAAACCTCCTGGGCCTTCAACTAATCCCATTGGCTTGGCTAGACCTGGGAAGAAAAAGAAGGAAATACAGGTGCACTCAGTTTGGAAAATCAGGGGAGTGGGTCAGAGATATAGTGTTAAGCGCAGAGTAAGTCAGGAAGCCCAGGCAGTTGAAATGGACATAAAGGTTTATGGCAAGCTTAAGCTCTCTACAAGAATCTGAACTACCCTGTTTCTCCAACAATACGGCCTCCCCCAATAGGAAGTCCCAGCATGTTTTATAGGCATGAAATGAAATTAAGCCCCTCCCCCCAAATTAAGGCCTATATTAAAACATGTGAAATGGGGGGGGGCTTGCCATTAGGAAGTACTTTTGTTTCACACCCGGATATGGTTCTGCCTGTATTGACCCCGATACGAAGTGCCCCACCAACGCCGAGGTCAACATCCAAGCCATCGCCGCCCGCCCACCCGAAGATGCAAGGGGGGGGGAATTAAGTCACCCCCCGAAAAGATGGCCTAGCCATTTTTTCGGGGCTCAAAAAAAAGTAAGACCCGGCCTTATTATATGAGAAACACGGTACTAATGGCCAAAGCAAACTGGGGGTAGAGAAAAATCAATGCAATTCAAGATGGGCTGGACTTAGATCTCTTAGAAGTGCAAAGGGACTCGAGACTGATGATATGCTTGATTCCCCCCTCCTTGGGCCCAGCCTAGTCATCTCCTACATGGATGGATGGATGGATGGATAGATAGACAGATGATAGGTAGGTAGCTAGGTAGGTAGGTAGGTAGATAGATAAACAGACAGTCAAGAACTTGAAACCAGAGCCCAGGCAATTTAAATGAATATATAGGTTTATTGTATGCTAACACTCTCTACAAGAATCAGAACTACTAACGGTCAAAGTAAATTGGTGGTAGATAAGAGTCAATTAAAATTCTAGGTGGGTTCACTTAGATCTCTTATAGGCATGAAGGAACTCGAGACTGATGATGTATTTGACCCCTCCCTCGGGCTCACCTTGGTCATCTCCAACACATAAATAGTCCAATTGGAGCCCCCACCCTTTCTGTTGTCCCATCCCAGGAGAAACTTCATGTAAGCCAAAACTGCAAACGTCTCTGGCTGGAAATCAATTTCACTCCATAGATGGATAAAAATGTCAAATTCAGTCTTAATATCTGTCTGACTGTACAACGAACCATAATAAAGACACACTCTCTCTCTCTTGTGGATCTTAGAACTGCTAATTGAATAAATCAAGGTTTTTTTGTCATTGTAGGAAGAAACATGGTGTCCAATGCCCATCACTCCTAAGTACCTGTCTATGGATATTGTCAGTCATCCAGGTCATGGTTGTCCCAAAGGTGCTTTTCCAAGAGGCAATTGGACTTTCTTGTTTTTCTTTGAAGACGTTGCGGAGAAGCTTCCTGGATGAGAAGCAAGATGTCTTCAAGGAAAAACAAAGGAAGTCCAGTTACGTCTTGGTTGGGAACTCCTAAGTATTAATAATTGCTTACTTCGTGACATCGATCTTCACACAGATTCAGAAATCCTCCCCAGGTTCCCCAACTAGATCCTGGAATGCATAAAGAGGGAGACACCGGGGAGACAGGAGAGCAGTCTTCCAATATTTGAGGGGCTGCCACAGAGAGGAGGAAGGGGTCAAGCTATTCTCCAAGGCACCTGAAGGCCAGACAAGAAACAATGGATGGAAACTGATCCAGGGGAGGTTCAACCTGGAAATAAGGAGGAATTTTTTTGACAGGGAGAACAATCAACCCATGGAACAGAAGTTGCCTTTGGAAATTGTGGGAGCTTCATCACTTGAGACTGTCAGAAATGGTGTAGGGTCTCCTGCTTGGGCGGGGGGTTGGACTAGATCAGTGGTTCTTAACCTGGATGATATTGCCTCCCAGGGGGTGATTTCGTTTTTCAGGGGGGCGATGGAACAAAAAGGGGCGACACAGGGACGAAGGAATGGAAGTGGGTTGATATGGGGGTGATGGAGCGAGAAGTTTTGGGGACACTTTTGAGACTTTTTTTCGTACAGTGAACCGCTGTATATCTGTCGTACGAAAACATCAGATCGCTCGCTATTAGTGGATTGAACTGTGTTTTAAAATGTTCCTCCAGCTAGCTTCAGTACAGAATGCCAGACATGTGACTACGCATCGCTCATCCTCCATGCATGTTGCGCAGCAACCTCTATCACTCTACCCATTAAATTTGTCGCTCTGATTCTTGTTGCTTTCCTTCTGTAAAAATTTTCTTTGTGTCTTTTTAACCCTTTTTACAGTCTGCATGAATATATATTTTCCTCCAATCTTAATTTAGTTTCAGAGTTTTCATCTTGAAATTCTTAGTTCCTGCATCGCGGTTTGTTCTTATGCCCTTTTTATATTTCTTTTTGCGCCTTAAAATTCACTTGTAATTAAATCATTAAATGTTACTGGTTTTTTTCCGGGCATTTCATTTTCTTGCAGTTGAATTTTGTTTTCAGTGGTCTTGAATAAGTGTCTTGAATAATAAATAAGATAATAATGAAATACATGTGTCACGAAGTTTAGGAGTAAAGTGATGGGTGGCATCAGAATTTTTCACACAGTTGAGATATGGGAAAAAGACTAGAAATCAATTATTTGCATTGATATGTCCTGATGACAATTTTAAAGAAAACAAAAAACGTGTTTACATACATTGAAGAATTATTTCCTTGTGTTGTGATTGAGAGGTTATGTTGGGGGAGGGAGGGGGCGATGATAACTTCCTCAATGGCTCAAGGGGGCGATTCTTTCAAAAAGGTTAAGAACCACTGGACTAGATGACCTAGAATAGAATTCTTTATTGGCCAAGTATGATTGGACACACAAGGAATTTGTCTTTCGTGCATGTGATCTCAGTGTACATAAGAAAAAATGAAAGACATTCATCAAGAATCATAAGATACAAAACTTAGTGATAGTCATAGGTTACTATAAGCAATCAAATCATACATAGGTTACTAATACGCAACCAAAACATACTAGAAAACAAGTAAAACAATATAAATTGTAAAGATACAAGCAACAAGGTTATAGTCATAAGTGGGAAGAGATAGGTAATAGGAAGGATGAGAAGAATAACAGTAATACAATCTTACTAAGTATTTTGATAGTGATATGGGAGTTAGTTGTTTAGCAGAGTGATGGCGTTCGGGGGGAAAACTGTCCTTGTGTCTAGTTGTTCTGCTGTGCAGTGCTCTCTAGTGTCATTTTGAGGATAGGAGTTGAAACAGTTTATATCCAGGATGTGAGGGGTCCGTAGATATTTTCACAGCCCTCTTTTTGACTCGTGCAGCATACAGGTCCTCCATGGAAGGCAGGTTGGTAGCCATTGTTTTTTTCTGCAGTTCTAATTATCCATTGAAGTCTGTGTCTGTCTTGTTTGGTTGCAGAGCCAAACCAGACAGTTATAGAGGTGCAGATGACAGACTCAATAATTCCTCTGTAGAATTGGATCAGCAGCTCTTTGGGCAGTTTGAGTTTTTTGAGCTGGCACAGGAAAAACATTCTTTGTTGTGCTTTTTTATTACATTTCTGATATCAGGTGTCCATTTTAAGTCCTGAGGTATGAAAGAACCTAGAAACTTGAAGGTCTCTACTGTTGATACTGTCTTGTCTAGTATTGTAAGAGGTGGTAGTATAGGAGGGTTTCTCCTAAAATCTACCACCATTTCTACGATTTAGTTCAACATTGTTCTTTGTTGCACCACAAGGCTAGTTGTTTAACCTCCCATCAGATTCATCGTTGTCTCAAATTGTAATTGTCTCTCATAAGGTCCCTTCCAACTCTCTTAATCTACGGTAACTATAATAGCTTTCCGATTTTGAACCCTGCTTGCTGATCTATCTGGTCTCGCAAGAGAATCCAGAGACATTAACAAAAAGCTTGTCGATAGGTTTGTGCTTCAGTCTTCTTGTACCCCAGCAGTGCTGGTAGACACAATAGCATTGCTTAGCTCTTCTGTCTCCCAGGACATAAAATTCATTACTATTTTTTAATTGGAAGTGATACTACATTTATGTGTACAGATCTCCAGTATCAAAATGTAATTGCTTTTAAGCAATCCTCATTTGAAGCATGCTTCCCCTGGAGAGGAGGAGATGGAGTCTAATTACAAGAGATAATTTGAAAGAAGATAAACAAATAACAGAAGATCACCAAGGTCAACAATGGATCCACGCAAAAGGTGCTAGAAGTAGGTTTCGCAGCACCGGCAACCATAGATTTGATTAAATATTATCCACCTATCATTAACTGGCCATTAGGAGTGAAGATTTTTTGAGGGTGGGCCAATAATCTGGATTGGCCATATTAAGGGAATGGAGGGGCAACTTTGGGAGATAGAAGTATTGTGATGGAGACGTTGTGTGAGCTCCCTAAGCTTCAAGTGAAATGGAGGATATTGTCCCAGGGTCCAAGACTCAACTGCCCATCTCGATGACTTTGGGGTCCTTAGTGCTGTCTGAGCTTGGTTATTTTCTTGCAGATGTTTCACTACCCAACTAGGTAACATCATCAGTGTTGGAAAGGAGTGGCATTTGCTCTCTTTTAATACCATGATTAACAGAAGACCAAAAATGCCCAATCAAGGAACTACCAACTCAGACAAACAATCAAAGATTAAACAACAGTCTAATCAAGGAGCCACCAAATACTCCTTATCAACACTTACATGGGAAGCCGCATGTATATAAAAGGAGAGCAAACCCCACTCCCTTTAACACTGATGGTGTTACCTAGTTGGGTAATGAAACATCTCCAAGAAAATGACCAAGGTCAGAGAGCACCAAGTCCTTCTCCTTCTTCTTCTCCTCTCCACACACCCCACTTCCTTCTAATACTGATGATATTACCTAGTTGGGTGATGAAACATCTGCAAGAAAATGACCAAGTTCAGAAGAACACCAAGGACCCCACAGTTTAAATCTGAGCTACAAATATTTTCTTATAACGGTATCAGATAACTTTTCTGTATGGAACAGGAAGGTGAATCTGAACATTGGAAAGATTTGGGA